ATATATTAATATATTAAAAATTATTTATCGAAATCTAATATATTCTTTACAGATTTTAAGTAGCTCAGCTCTTAAAAGAATTGCACCAAGAGGTAAAAAAGAGAAAAAAATGTAAAATATAGAATGTCCGGAGATATATATTAATTCGCGCGTGTCAGCTGATCGTATAATGTAACATGTCTAGCGCAATCCGGGATTTGATCGTGATTAATAACTTGTCATTATGGCCCGACGAGAAATGCAAATATTGTACGAAACGTGTTCGTTCGCCGCGCATTTTTATACCTTCGTGAATCGCGAAAGCGTGGAATAATCGTGAGTGAATTAACGACTTAGAAACGAGTATCTGACAGGAATATTATTTCTCTTTCACGCAATCACACTAAGAATAACGCATTCGAATAATCTCGAACGTATATAAATCTTTAAATGGAAATTTAACTCTCCCCGTTATGTTCCTTTTATTGTTTTTCTTCTTATCAATAAATATAAATATATTTAAAAATTAATTTTAAAAATCATTAAAATTATGTAAAAATTATAATAAGCATCATTTTCAAATTCAGTTGTATTGCCTATCTCTTTTGAAACGGATAACGGAGTAATTAAAAGTTAAATGTTTATATATTTGAAAATAGCCACTTGATGTGCGTAATAAAAGGGATATAAAATAAATTGGTCAAACAAATTGACAGTAGCGAGAACGTTCGTATGGACGAAAAAAGCAATCGTTTCAAATAAAATTATCACACATTAAATTATCACATAAAGTGACAATAAAAAAATTCGGTTTTACCAAAATTCAATTTATTCGCTTTATTTTAGGTAACGCATTTATATGCAGTTTTAATTGTATGATTAAAAATTATATGTTTCATATATTACTTATTATTTCTATCTCCAATTACCTTTTAATAATTTTGTATACAAGATAAAATTCGTAAAAATGTAATCTGTAATACACTGAAAAATTATTAAATTAATAAATATTTATTTCAATATTGCTTTATAAATCATTTATTTAATACAAATAAATATTTATCTGTTTTGAAAAGGGTTTTCTTACATCAAATCAATTATATTAGTTTCAAATAAATGATTTATAATAGGGTATTGAAATAAATATTTATTTGAATTCAAAAATTTTTCAGTGTACTCTATAAAAATACTAAAATACCAAATACTTTAATTTTAAAAAGTACTAAATTTGAGTATAATTTATGAAAAGACCGCGTTAAAAATCTAACTAAAAATACTAAATACTAAAAATTATTAAAAATACTAAAATACCAAATACTCTAATTTTAAAAACTACTAAATCTGAGTCAAATTTTGAATAGACCGCGTTGATACTAACTATAAAAATACTAAATACTAAAAATTATAAAAAATACTAAAATACTAAATACAAAGTGTACTAAAATTGAGTACAATTTTTGAATAGACCGCGTTAATACTACTATAAAAATACTAAATACTAAAATTATTAAAAAATACTAAATACAAAGTGTACTAAAATTGAGTACAATTTTTTAATAGACCGCGTTGATACTAACTATAAAAAATACTAAATACTAAAAATTATAAAAATACTAAAATACTAAATACAAAGTGTACTAAAAGTACAATTTTTGAATAGACCGTTGATACTACTATAAAATACTAAATACTAAAAATTATTAAAAATACTCTAAATGAGTACAATAATAGACCGCGTTGTGATACTCCAACTATAAAAATACTAAATACTAAAAATATAAAAAATATCAATTAAAAAAATACAAAAATTATAAAAATACAAAAATTATAAAAATACTAAAATACCAAATACAAAGAGTACTAAAATTGAGTAAAATTTTGGAGAAATTAGAGAGCTAGGAATCGACATTTGGCAACCTTATTTGGTAAACGCGGCTCTCTGTCGCGGCTCTAAGGAAGTTTCGAGCTCCTGCTCTCCCATTGACAATTTTTACGTTTTTTTTTCTCCTCTCCGTACGATTTCTCTCGCACGCGCGTGCATACGTCATCGATCTCGGTCGCTCTGCGCCATGCCGAGCTTTGACCGAGAAACAGCCGGGGGCCAGTGATCTTCAACTCGTTCAACAACACTCTGCGAGGTGGCATTGCCTGAATGCCATGGTCAGCGACCGTGAGAGATCGAGAATTTAAATTCTGCGCCGACTCCCACCGTCCTACCCCCTCTATCCTCCCCCGCGGATCCTGCAGTCGCAAACATAATCTTATGCTCGCATGTGGGAAAAAAAGAAAGAAATTGAACCGCCGAGGTCGGAAGCCGCGCGAGACAAATTTCGAGCGAAGCTATATACTTGGATACGAAATTTGGATCCTTTATTTTTTATAAATAATTCTCCTAAATGATAAACTAAGTTATTTATATAATAAAAATTTAACAAGTTGGTTAGAGGTGATAAAAATACTTTCGATGAGAAGAGAGATATATGTTAATAAAATCTTGTTAAATATTTTACAATAGAGTTACATTACCAACGATATACAAATCCGATTGAATCTTGCCATCTGAATTATTTATATGATTTATTTACTTTCTTTTATCGTTAACTCTCCTACCAGCTCGCGGTATAAATTATAAAAATTGAAAGAACAATAAGTGAAAGATTCGACCTAGTTTCTCGTCATGCGTTAACCAACTCCGACAATTATTGGCATCAATAGTCTTCGACCTTTCGCGCATCGTTATTATAATTATTATTATTATCGATAGTTCGCAGTACTTATATATATATGCGACTTGTTGCATTTACTCGAACCGTGGATAATTAACGACTCTACTAAATATCACTTCAACACCTTCAATTTCCGCCTTTGAGTGGCCCCTTCGAAAAGGCCACTGCTAATAATTTAATTTATCAACCTAGAGACATTTCGAAAAGATCTTTCTCGCATCCAAGATATTTTTATCGTTCCATTCATTTTCTTTTCAATTTTAGCTGTTGATACACTGAAAAAAAATATTAATAAATATTTATTTTAATATACTGCCTAATAAATCATTTATTTGAAACTAATAATATTAATTTAATATAAAAAATATTTATAAATGATTTTTTCAGGCAGTATTAAAATAAATATTTATTAATAATTTTTTCAGTGACATAAATCATGTTAAGAAAAAGATCCAATGAAGAACAGACTCTCTAACTTTTATCTCTCTTCGCTCGAATTATATACCAATAAACGGTGTCTAATATACAAATGCCAAGTCGCGTTTAGATTTAGCGGGCGCTTTTATTCGCTATTTAGAGCAAGGCCTCATCAAGGCCACGGGAGAGCATAATGGCCGGAAGTGCCGCTTCCACGCGAAAACGTCATGTGCATTGCAGTCACCTCCTCCGCGATCGCGATTACGAGGTTCGCATGATCCGAGGACACTCTTCTTGGTTCGCCACACACCCCTGCAATTTCTTACGCGACACGAAAGCGTAAATCGACTATCCTAGTGTTTTTAGTATTTTTTCTAGCATTTTTAGTAGTATTTTTCTACGCTGAAAAAAAATTTATCCAACTCGTATAAATATTTATTTTAACGCTGCCTTATAAATCATTCGAAACTAATAATATTAATTTAATGTGAAAAAAATATTTATTTGATATAAGAAAATCCTTTTCAAAGCAGATAAATATTTATTTGTTTCGAATAAGTGATTTATAAGGCAGTATTGAAATAAATATTAATTTAGTAATTTTTACAGTGTATCTGCGCGGTCTATTGAAAAATTTTACTCAAATTTAGTACTTTTTAAAATTATTGGAGTATTTGGCGTTTTAGTGTTTTTATTAATAGTTTTTGGCATTTAGTATTTCTATAGTTAAAATATACTTTAAAAATATTAGAAAAAATACTAAATATATTATAATATTTTCAATATTTTTCTAATATTTTTATAGTATTTTTCCATTATTTTTCTAATATTACACGAATTTTCTAGTATTACACGATAACTCGCTATCGAAATATGTAATCATGAATTACTATGTAATAGATTAAAGTAAAGTTTATCCATAAAAAATTTAACTTAATTCAATAAATTTAATTCACCTAAAGTTTAACGATTTCAAATATTGGAATAACCGGAGCTCTGTGATAATATTTACGGTATCTGATAATAAAAAAAATTATAATCCGCGCAGGCGAACGATTCCGAAAAACAAAATATGCCCCTAAAAGAATGTATAATAAAATTCGATAACGCGCAAAGGTATTTAAACCTTTAAAAATTCGTCTCGTAATTTTTATATCACCAATTTATACAGGTCATTGAAATGTATATCACTGGAATAAAATATCTCGAATTTCTCGAATATCTCAGCGATGCGTCATTTAAAAATAGATGTGTCACTTTCATTTTCGAGTGATATCTCTGGTTTCGGCCGTAAAAATAAAAAAATAAATTCCAAAGAGAACGAGACAGGATGATAACCCGCGATCGTTTCGAGGTCCTCGACGCGTCGAGCGAGCCGAGCGAGCCCTTCCGAGGAGTTGCACCCTGCGCGCATGCCGCTTGCACAGCAAAAGGGTCAAAGGACGACGAGAGCGCGGTGCCGAGGGCGGTACGCGAAAGCGTCGTCCCCGAGGCATCGATCGGGGGACTGGCCAAAAATTCGCGCGCGCGACCCCGCTCCGAATCGGAAAGGGACTCGGGGATGGAGGAGGGAGAGGGTGAGATGGGGGAGACAAAAAGAAAAAGACAAAAGGAGAGAAAAAGAGAAAACGAGACGGTAATAAACAAGGGAGAGAGAGAGAGAGAGAGAGAAAGAGAAGCGCGGCCAACATCACGTCGGTCGTGCGAAGCGCAGCCAACATCACGTCGGTCGTGCGAAGCGCAGCCAACTTCACGTCGGTCGCGCGAAGCGCAGTCAACTTCACGTCGGTCGCGCGAAGACGCGACGCGCAGCCAACTTCACGCGCGAGCACTCGCACTCACCATTTAACGCAGCCAACTTCACGCGCAAGCACTCACCATTTAAATCTCCCAGCAGCGGCGGCGATGACGATTTAAATCTCAACTGGCGCGTCGTCGATAAAAATTGTATACACAAGTTCTCCCACTTCTCCTCCTCCTCGCTTCCGCTGCTGCACTCTTCTTCTTCCTTCTTCCCCCCCGACGCGAGTTCTTCGTTTTCAGCGACGTCCCATGGCACCGACGATATAAACTCTCGTCGGGCCGTTTGTTGGCTCGAGCGCGCGCTTCCGGCAGTGATTACGTAGAACACAATAGAGAGAACACGCGAGGGAGAGAAAGAGGGGCACCGCGAACGAGCACTCGCGCGCAAACAAGTGCGCACTCTCGTCGAACGTCCTGAAGTGCACTCCGGATCTTCTCTCTCTCTATTATCACGATATCGCAAGCGCGCGCGCGCGTTCGCACATATACACTCGGGCGGCAGTGTTGGTAGTTAATACATTAACTATTATGCTAGTGGCAGTGAGATGACGCGTGGTCGTCGTCGTCGTCCTCGCGGGTCGGGGGGAAAAACATGAGGGGAGGAAGAGAAAAAGAGAGAGAGAGAAAGAGAGAGCGAGCGGCGGCGGTTGAACGCACGCGGAGCGCGAGGAGACACCCTCACACGTCGGAGGCTCTCGTGCGACTGACTGGTTGGCTGGCGCGGCGCGTAGGGATTAGGAGACGGCGCGCGGCGGGGGGGAGAACCGCGAGGCACGAGCACGCATGCGCGACGGCCCTGTTTCGGAGCAGCGCTCCGCGACACTCGTCGCCGAGCCACCGCCCGACGCGCGCGTTCACCCTCTTCGCGATGCGACGCGATGCGATGCGATGCATCGAGCTGCGGCCCGAGCTCGCACGATTTAGATTCCGATACGCAAATTTCGGAAATAAACAATTCATCTCCTAAGAATATTAAGAATAATTGGTAATATTGATAATAGAATATAATTGATAAAATATAGAATAATATATTAATTCAATTTTTTGTTTTTGCATTGTCTCCTTAAAGAATTATATTACATATAATGTTTTAAAAAATTAAAATATGTAGGATTCTTCCTGATGGTGTAATCAAGAAAATTATTTTGCAGGAAAAAACAAGAAAATGTTAAAGATTTTTTTTTCCATACAAATTTTAAAAATTGTCTATTATTTTAATTATTTATACTTTTTTTGATAACCACACTAAAAATATGCAAAGCACACATGATGTGTCTTCATAAAGATACTTCGTGACATGTGACTTAAAAAAATTTCTTTTGTTCCATACAATCATGAAAGAGTTGAACTGTATAATTATGTAAACAATGGCAACTCTTCTTACGTTGTAAAATGTGAACGTAAACAGACCTCACATTCCACTCTCTGTATATACATAATATTAAAATTGTAATAATCTGATATTATATCTCAATATACATTCTTTTATTTATAATACAAATTTTAACATTATGATTTTCAAATTATCGCAAACCTAAAATCATGGTTAAGAATTTTAACTATTAAATTTTATTATAAGTAAAATTTATTAAAAATAAATTTTATTTATATAAATTATACAAATTTTATTTTATATTTATTAATTATTTATTTTATTTATGAATATTTTATATAATTATTTTTATTTTTATATTATAAATAAAATAATTATAATATAAAAATAATTATACAAAAGATTCATAAATAAAATAAAATTAATAAATATAAATAAAATTTGTAAATTTATATAAATATCTATTATTCTATTATCTCTAAATGTTCTGAAGTAATTTCTGCGTCCTCTCTTACGTAAAAGTCAAAGGCGCAGTTAAATGCCTTCGATTGTTCTTAAGACGATCGAAAAACAAAGAAAAGAAACAAAATCATCGGAACCGCAATTGGAGCTGTCGACGAAATTGCAGTTTCTTTTTTTTTTCTTTTTGCAAAAATTTCCCATAGACCACGCGTATAGGAAGGTGATATCCATGAAATGGATTACTCGGAATTCGGGCCTATCATTACGAGAGCGTAATCGTCTGATTATACGTCTGACACGCACGAATCATGAATTCTTCTTTCTGCGCATATGTGCGTGTGTGTGTTTTTATGTGTGCAAAATTCCACCCCTGCAGCAAAAAAGCGAAAGCGTCGTCGTTCCGGAATTTTGCGTCGACTCGAGGGATTCGAGAGCGGCTCTTTCTTCGGTTCTCTTTTCGGTTGCCGGAACCTCCGTTACCGAAATACACGCGACGGCAGTTTCCGGTTTCGTTTCTCTTGTTGCGAGGAAAATCGGCGACGAAGAAACTAGTCCGTTCCGCGGTAAAAAAATTAATTTCAAAAAAAAGTTTTTTAATGATAAATCCAGTTGTTTGGGGGAAAAGAAAACATTGTTATTATTACAAAACACGCATGTAAGCAGATTTATGTAACATCGCGCGCTCTACAACCTCTTCAACAAAGCAATGACTTGTGTGCTCGAGGAAAAGGTAAGATACAAAATTTTCTGTACAGTGTATAAAATATTCAAATTATTTGAGTATGTCCTGTTTAGTATATTTTATATGCAATCGTATATAATTTAATTTTAATTCTAATTTTATTTTTAATATTGTATATTATAAATAAAAATTATATAAAAGTTATATATATACATTAACTTTATATAATTTTTATTTATAATTTTAATTCCAAAATATGTGGCACACTCAAAATGAGGATGACACTTAAACGATAAATCAATAAACGTAAAATGGAAGTTGTGAAAATAAATTCGACGACGAATGATTTCCACATAAAGTTAATTATACGACATATATAAAAAAAATAAAAATATATACAAGTGTATCTAAATAAGTTCGAAAAATTTTAGGAGGTAATTCTTTGTCGAAAATTAAGGAGGGTTTCTTATATAAATATATACTCTTTTTTAAAAAAGGAAGTAAAAATTAAGTTTTAACTATAAAATTTTTAACTATAAAAAACGCCCTTTAATTTTTGACAAAGAATCATCTAAAATTTTTCGCATTTATTTATAGATACACCCTATATATAATGTATATAAAAAATTATTTCTGCATCACACTACCACGTATTTCGTGAAAAATTACAAAAATAGAAAATATATAGAGTTATAAGTCCTTAATTTTGATAATTTCTTGGTCCAACAATGTTATACATTCCGGATAGCTCTGTTTTATCGATCGAAAAGTAAGGTTAGATTCGACTATAAATCTATTTATTGGCTATTGGATTGTTTATTACCTGAAATTATAAGCTACCGCGGTCTGTTAATATTAATACTTTAATTGTGAAAAAAGGATTCATCAATCTGTATAGCCAATCAAAATATAAGTAAAAAAAAAAAAAAGAAAAATATTTCGATCGATAAAACAGAACTACTCCGGCATCCTCTTGAGGGTGGAAATATATGACGCGACCGTCATCCCGCGAACTCGAACTTGCAAAAGAGATCGATTATCGGAGGGGTGCGACGCGATTCATAGCGAGAGCGAGATGAATTAATACGGCGGCTGCGTAAGGACCCGTTATCCGAACCGGTTATCGCGTGAGCGACGAGAATGCGATATACCGCGCGGCGAATAACACCGCGAAGGTTAATTATTTAAAAAAAGAACGCAAACAATGTTACTTAACATCCTCGCACCAAACTGACGTTAATCCCATCAATCTATAAATAGTACGAATTTTACGCGCGAGCGTTTACGTTTACGCCGAGCGAAACAAAAAAATGCACCTGTCTCGCGTGAGGCGGCTTTGAACGAGCCGATCAACATAACAGAGGACGGCGTTACATGTTGCATCACAAATACACGGCGGGAAAATTAATAGACGTCGTATATATAGGGTAATGCATTTGTTACGTGCGACCTGTCCTGCGGAAATTAATTCTATTCGCGAAATTTAACGAGGAAAATATTTTTCATAAATATTTGAATTAATATTAATATTTAAAAATGTTTGCAAATATTTGTATAAATATTTGATATTTAAAGAGAAATATTTTTTATAGAAAGAATCCTGTATTTTTCTATAAAGAAAGTGCATATTATTTAACAAGAATTGTTCTTCTTTATGCAAGAAAAATATTTAAAAATAATAAATATTCTGTTAATATTAATAATATTTAAAAATTATTACAAACGATTATAAATATTTTTACATACCATATATTCTACACATCATGAGAAATATTTTTTATAGAAAGAATCGTGTATTTTTCTATAAAGAAAAAGAGAGTGCATGTTATTCGACAAAAATTATTTTTCTATGCAAGAAAAATATTTATAATAACAATTATATAATATTCTATTAATATTAATAATAATTAATAATATTGGAAAATTATAAATGTTTATAAATATAAAATATTTAAAAAGAAATATTTTATAATTAGAAAGAATCTTATATTATCCAAGAAAGAAAATGCATATTATATAACAAGAATTATTCTTCTATACAGCATTCTTTTTTTTTTTTTTATTAAACACGTGACGTTTCATAAAATGAGTACTTGCCTGAAGAATGTTTTAACTTTGGACTCATCCTGTTTAAGTATAAAAAATGTAAAAAATACCACGACAATGCGAGAATACTCTCATAGCGAAATGTCATTCGACGTATCTGACAGATAAACATGTTTTGCGCGTAAGTGCAAATCCTCTCGTATGAAAAGATATTTTTCGCGCGCCGCGCCGAAAGGAATTAAATCTTTCGAGGATTTAAAAGCACATATATATATATATATCGCGTGCTTAAAAACACCGACTCTTCGCGCTTTCAAGAAAGAAAAGATGGAAATTCCGTGGAAATTCCGAGGGCTTCGTTACCAAAATACACACAGTGCGCCGGTTGCAATCTCTCTCTCGTTCCCCCGTTTCTCTTCTTTTTTCTTTCTTTCTAACCGTCGGCAGCTTCGCGACGGAATTAAATTATTTTTAACTAACACGCTGCCGTTTAATTACGTACGCCAAGAATCACACAGGATGTCTTCTTACCGAATTAATTTCGCCTAAGTGATAAAAGTGTATCAAAACTTCCGAGAAAACTAAAGCAGCAAGCACGATTGAAAAACTCATTTCCATACAAATTGTGTGAAATATAATTGAAAAACAAAGCAAATTATATATCCTAAAGCCACGATAAGTTTTTTGCATCTTTCGTTACATATTTAATTATTATTTCTATTATATTATATATATATATATATATATATATATAAATATAATACAAATAATACATGTATATATATATATATATATATATATATATATATATATATATATATACGTACCTATTATAAAATTTTTAAAGAGAAAGTTCCACGTCGGAGAGTAATAATCAGATCAGGGGACACGCTCTAAGGGTCGCGCGGATTAAAGTAGGATTAAAGAAGGTTTCAATTATATGGGCAATTATTAAGTGGAAAATTGACTACATATTATTTATATAGAATAAAAATATAGAAATATTATAGAGTTAATTAGAAAATATAATAAATATATAGGGTATATATATATTTTTAAATTAAGGTATAATAAATTATAAATAATTTTATATTGTAATATATGTATATATAAAAAATAATATAAAAATATGAAAGCTATGAGTGAAAAATATCTCTGTCCACTTGAAAATTTCTGAAAAATAGTCA